GTCTGAATTAGTATCTTTATCTTTTGTCTTGTTCCTTTCTCCTGTTTTATTCCCTCCACCTCATGTTTTTCCTACAGTCTGGCTGTATCTAGCCAGGAAAAAAAAAAGTCAGGAATGGAAGGAAAATTATTATTCAACTGTAACTCAAATTATCAAATTAAAACTGAGGGTTGAAATGAAAAAGAATCCTGTAAAAAATAAATAAGAAATGAATTATCTCCCTGGTTTTATGTGTTACCCTATCATTTAAGTACAGCTACCAGTACTCAGTTCTGAAAGATAAATAAAAAGAAAATGTTCATACTTTTAAAACAAAGGTTGACAATATTGTTAACAATAACTGAGGGATTGATGGTCTGGAAAATAGTACAGCTGTATTGTTAGACCACTGGGACACTATCCTGGCTGGTGCACACCTTCTAACTGGCATTCTGTATGTAACTATGGAAAACAACAAAAATTCATTCTTCAAACTGCTTCGAATACCTCCTGGCTTTTTCTTTGTTGTAAACTGTGTAAAGCACATGACTTTAAAGGAAAGGTTATATAATATTCATGTGAAAACTAATAGTGGACAAAAAGGGTAAGATGGAGGCAAGGTAAGAGCTGCCACTTTGACGTCAGAGCCAAACTGTTGGATGGGGCTGTGAGCACCACCTGTGGCATGTTGGCAGATCCTGCACGTTCCCAGCCTGTGGGCATCCCTGTGCAGAGCCCTGTGGGCACCCACTGCAGAAGGGAGGATTCATAGACAGTTGCCAGAGAAGAAGAAAATTTTCTTGCAGCTGTGATTAAAAAAAATAGTCTTTCTGTGGGAAGTGGGCACTTGATGTGAGAAATTTCATGAAAGAATCAGTGTTTCACATAAAAATGAGGTGGAATGATCTTGTAATTCATTATACATACGTGCAAAACATTAAATATTGCCGTTGACAAGGACATCTTTACTAAGGCAGCAGCCCATTAAGTGATGTGCACTGACAAGGACGAATAGCAGTTAAAAACTGTTCTATTAAAAATACAGTGGTTTACAACTTCCAGCTGCATATCCTGTATTCTTACACAGTATATGGTTGAAACAACAAGAGAGCTGGAGCTATCTAACTTAGTTACTTAAATGCCATTTCCTCATCTTATGAATAAGTAATATATATTAAGTACTCATCCGAGTAGGGATGAAGTCTGCATTCCCAAGTGCCGTCATCATTCTCTCTTTGGTCCTACATCTTTTACATTAAATGTATTATTGCCAAATTAAATTTCCACTGTAGATCTGGAGAATGTCTTCGATGACCCTGAACTTGTCCTTTTCTTTCAGCTACATCAGATGTTCCTATAGAAGACATTACCTTTTCCCACCAAGGTTTTCTTCTCTTATTATTCTTAGACCATCACAGCTACAAGAGCACTACCACTAGTTTCAATTATTTCAGACAGCATGAAACAGCTTTCATGGGACCAAGAAAGCCTTTACTCAGAATAGCCTATAGTCTGGTCATTATGATGCTCTTCTGGGACATGTGGGGGTTTGAATCCCATTACGTAGAAGAGACAATTGGATCTGCCTCTCCTGCAGCTTGGGTGAGTACTTTAATCATGAGTTATTGGATAAAAGGTTATGGAAGGATCATCATTGTCTTCTCCAGATGCATTTTGTGAGAAATGAATAATAGCACCTTTTAGAGCAGAGCCTCAGCGCAATGAGTCCCACTGGGACTAAAGTTGTAAGTACTGAAGGACAGCTTCAGACTACCTTTGCCTGTAACAGCTCATAGTGGCTATTTTGAGCAGCTCAGCACACTTTGCCAATCTTTAGTAAACATTTATGTCTCTTGAGACTTTATACCAAAACTAGGAATCAAAGTTAGGGCAGTGATCTAAAAATGTGATGGTCAAAAAACTAACTAGAGAGCCTGAGACTCCTAAATTCACCAGAAATTCTGAGTTATGCATAATTGTCTGATAAGCTGGCAATTTCAGTATCATACTTCAGAAGCATAGTTGATGTTCTGAAATAAAGTATGTACCACGTGTACTTTGGAATCTAACATTATTTTGCATTCTGCACATTTTCCTGAATGCTGCTATTGGGAATGATTCAGAAACTTGAAAAAAAAAGGTTTTCTAGCACTACTACAACAATAGATTACATTTTTGTCTAAAATTATTACTTTAGATATCAGTTTTAAAATAAGGAAAAATCATCCTCCTTACCCAGGTTTCTATTTCAAAGATTCTAGAAGAATATTTGAAAATTCAATTAGTTTTACCTGATTATCAAAACCTAGTTAGATGGACTATGGGCCATACGTGCATGCTCTATTGTTATGTATTACACAAATTGTAACCAGGTAAATGAAGACTCAAGAAAAGTAAAAAACTAGTAATGCTAGCTACATATATGCTTTTTTGCTATCCAGACATATTTTTTTCCTTTCAGAGAAATAGATAGAGGCTGAATTCAAAGTCAGTTATGGACATTTAAGATTCTGTATGCTCCCGTAACAAGACCAAACTCTGACAACATTCTAATTATGAAGAAATGCTTTAAAATGCTCTGTTCCTATTTTTGCTCAGTCGTAGAGAAAATGCTGTAGATGCTGAAGATATAACGATGGAATTCAGCCTTCTGGTTCTGCAAAGCCATCAAAGACATATTTGCAGTACTGCTCTTGCTGGATGTTTGAAATGCAATAGAATATACTGAGGCACACATTCTTTAAAAATCTCATGTTTTCATGCAACACTAAAACATATCTGACATGCACTGAAATGTCAGTAGCATTATATGAGATGACTTGATATCACAAACCATGGTGTCATAAAAGTAAACAATCTTAGAAATAGGGATGGGAGCAGTGCACGTACTTGAAACTGCAGAATGTCCTTTAACCTCTTGCAACTAGTTATTTTCTCTTCTGTCATAAAGATTTTCAGCTCAGATACAGCCTTGATTTTTGAATTTACTGATTCTTTTCTCTCCACTACAGTATTCTCTGTCAAGTTACTTTACAATTTTAGGTTGCATGCAGCTGTAATATTTTCCACTGGGAGAAAAGATGAAAGAGATTTTAGTTAGACAATTAACACAAAAGTCGGAATCCCAGTTGTCCAGCACTACTCTGTCACAGATGATAAGTCACTCATGAGTTTGGACAAGTCATTTTAGGGGTTCTCAATTTCCTACATATAAGAGAAGCTACTGTAAAATTTCTGAGGCACTAAAACAGTACAGTAAAAGTGATATCTAAACATCACAGTTTAATTTCTATATCATAGAATCATAAAATAGTTTGAATTGGAAGGCTCTTACAAAGGTCATCTGGTCAAACTCCTCTGCAATGAGCAGGGACACCTACAGCTAGATCAGGTGCTCAGAACCCTGACCTTGATTGTCTCCAGGGAAGGGGCATCTACCACCTCTCTGGGCAACCTGTACTAGTGCCATAACCCTTATTGTAAAAATCTCCTCCCTTATATCCAATCTAAATTTCTCCTCTTTTAATTTGAAACCATTTCCCCTTGCCCTGTTACAGCAGACTCTGCTAAAGAATCTATCTCCTTCTTTCTTACAGCCCCCTTTTAGGTACTGAAAGGCTGCTCTCTGGTTTCCCTGGAGTCTTCTCCAGGCTGCACAGCCCCAGCTCTATCAGCTTGTCCTCATGAGAGGTGTTCCATCCTTCCATTATTTTTGTGGCCCTCTCCTGGACACAACAGGTCCACATCTCTCCTATACTGAGCACTCCACAAGTGGATGGAGTATTCCAGGTGAGGTTTCACAGCACAGAGCAGAGGGGCAGGATCACCTCCCTGACCTGCTGGCCGTGCTTCTTTTGATGCAAGTTCTGGTTGGCTTTCGGGGCTGTGAGGGTGCACTGCTGGCTCATGTCCAGCTGCCATCCACCAGTGCCCCAAGCCATTTTTGGCAGCACTGTATTCCATCTTTACATCCCCCAGCTTGTACTGATAGTGGGGGCTGTTACAACCCAGGTGCAAGATCTTGCACTTGGGATTGTTGAACCTCATGAGATACAGCTGGGTCCACTGCTTCAAATCTTTCTGGTTCTGTTTGAATGGCATCCTGTCTCTCAGGCATGCTGACCACAGCACATCGCTTGGTGTCACCTGCAAACTTGCTGAGGGTGCACTTAGTTATATTGGATTGTGTGGCCCCAAGCCCTTTATCCTGGGAACTAAGAAAGTAAACTTAGAAATCAGAAACTTTGCTCTGCCACTTTATATCTGCTTTAGAACCACTACTCACTGACACATTGAACCAGTTCAGCCAGCAATGGTAAATCAGAATACCTCTCCTTTCATGATACAATAGCTGTATTAAGAGATTGAAGAATGTGTCTTGCACTCTGATTATTTTATTCTGTGTATTCACTCTTCTAATAAAAAAAAGTCTGAGTGTCCCCAGTTGTGTCTGGCCACTAAAAATATAGAAGTTTTGCATTGGAAAAATATGTTGGTTTTTTTTTTTCTTCCTATGGGAACAGCTGGAAAACTGATCTTCATGCTCTATTTTTTCTGAAACTCTATTAGAATGTTACATCATTCACATCTGTGGTTAGCAGACTTCAGGTTTCATCATCTATGGAAAAACCAAAGCAAGATATATGCAGAATTCTGTGAAAAGTGGAATATTAGAACTGCTGTTCTCAAAAATATCCAGGATTTCCAAACTAAATCCTTCCAAAAACAAGCAAATAAAAAGAATGTAAAATCAATAAGTAAAATCAGTTGCAAATTTTGAAGGAACATATATGTATATGTGTATATATTTACATATACAAACATCTACAAGCACATATTGTAAAGGAACTGTTGAGTCACAGCCTGAACCACTGATTGCTCACCTGAGGCAAAGGCAGAGTCAGCCCTGGGAGCACAGGTGAAGGCAATTCAGCTGTGTGACTGGAAGGGTTGGAGCCTGGCTGCACCTCTCCTAAACCTCATTTAAGGGCTGACTGCCCCAGGGGAAGGGTCTCTTTCTGGAGCTCCCTCCTTTTGGAGTTTTCTGCTGTGAGCCTAGGACACAAGTAAGAATCTTCTTTCGTTTCTGGTTTTCCCTTTCTATCATGATAATCCTTCTAGTTATGTGACCTGTAAATTGTCAGCCTAGCCACACTACTCTGCTAATTGTATGGCTGTTGATTGTACACATACATGTATATAAATATAACTGTAACATGTAAGGATAACTATGAATGTATATATGTTTATGTTCTTTTAGGAGGTATTCTTGTGTTCTAGCTTTTCTGTCTAAAAATCTTGCATAGGAATTTAATTTAGGTACTGAATAATAGAAGGAGGCAAACATTCCTAAAGGTGGATCCCTTTCAATCAATGTAAAGAAAGCAAATGATGCAGAATCAGCACAGAAATCAATCTAGGTAATTTATCCAAATGAGCCATCAATATGATCCTTTTGATAAAAAAGGAGAATATCAATTATCTAAAGAAAAACTATTAAATACAGAACTTACCTGTAAATCAGCAGTCCCTTGACTTCTGACAATAGCTGCGTTTAGCTTTAATCACTATTTTTTAGTTTAATAATCCTTGGGCTCCCTCTGGTTTCCTCGATTACCATGCAAAGCATACAGAATAGATTATATATGACATTCCCAGATGATTTAAAAAAAAAAAAAAAAAAAAAGAGAGAGAGAGAACTGAAATAATGATTTTTCAGTTTCTTTTTCCTCCAGTAGAAGTTAATGAGCCAAATTAATCATAGGAATAATTAGTAGGAATTAATCTTATGGCATTGTCAAACTAAGTAACTTTGCATTGTTTGGAGGTTTAGTGGTGACTTCTAGCAATAATTTCTGAACTTCCAAACTTATTGTAAATAGGCACTGCATTTCGCTATTTACCCGAAGCCGGAATATCTGTGAATATGTAACCATATTTTAAATAGCTCTCAGCTTTTCACTTGGGCTAAATGGAAAAAGTACTTGCTGTTGTTATTATATTTGAGCAATACATGAAAAAAATCTTTCTTTTGAAAACCTGACATAAAAAGTAAAGCTGAGAGTTTACAAATGGGTCTGGATGATGTTTATCGTGAATGCTGACATTAAACACAGAAATAGCAGTAACTGAAAGATAATAATAGAAAGAACCAATACTTTAAGTCACTTCTAAACTTTTCAAATTTAGTCAGACATATCTGCAGGGTCAAATCAGTGACAGGTAAATCTTATTTCATGAGTATTTGTGGCAGAAACAATCCACAAATCCTTGAGGTAAGACACTGACAAAGTCAGCTCTAAAACTCCTGCAGTGCATTTAGTTCAAGTGTATTGCAACCTTCATATGAACAAAACTGCTTTCAATGCAGTGCTTTACTGTGTTGTGTTTGTGTGAAGACTTATAGAACACTACCTATTTAAGCCAATTGTGAGGTTAGGTGGTAAGAATTTTAATGGTCTAAATATTGGACTTACACTCCCAGAAGTGTAGTTATGTAGCTGTGGTAGAGCCTATTCTAAATTAAACGGAAGAAATGCATGCAGAACCCAATTGCAACCATTAAAACCACATATTAGTACCATTCCAGACATACTTCTTCAATGTGTTTTTAACTACATTTTCTTGATCTTTTTAAGATTTTAAGGTCAGAAAAGTGACATGATCATCATCTAACATGTTCTGCTGCTTAGCCTGTGCTACGGAAGCCCAGTCAGTAACTCCTACTTAAGTTCTGTTACCATGGATTGAGTAGAGCATCATAGGTAGAGAGCTGATGAGAAACTGTGCAAATCCCTTTTTGGCAACTGTTCTCTGAAGTTAAATAACTTTGCTTTTAAAAATACACCATAATTAAATATCTCACACTACTCTCACACCGTTGGAGCACTTTATGATTTTGTTTACTGGATTACAAATACTGCCCTGCATTACCATGGCTTATTTTATAAAGCACTTTCAGACCTTTGGATTGCCTTTTTGGTTCTCTTTAGCACAGCATAATGCTGGACGCAGTATTTTTTCTGTGTCAAACTCATTGCTGCTAGGGCTGCCAAATACCTCCTATGTATGGACTCAAGCTATGGCTGCATACCCTCTGTGGTCCTATGGTACATTATTGCCATTGATAGCAACAGGCAATAAAGACAGAAATGTACCCAGGCTATAGGCAGGAAGAAAAACCATCAACATGAACCTAATACTCATCCTGATTAAGGACTCCAGATTCTGATGACTCACAGCAGCTGCTCAACACTACCAGAATGCAACTACCAACTCCAGGACACAGGAGCATAGGGGTGAGTAATAGGTCCAGGGAAAAGGGTAGGAAATAAAGGTGTGTAAAGCAAAGCTTTTTAACTAAAGTGCTGTTACTACTGAGGCTTTTTTTTTTTTTTTTTTTTTTTGGTATGGAAGCAGCCTAGCTAATTATTCTTTGTAAGAATTACATCTCAACTTATAATGATTAGACCCTTCAGATTTCGATGGTAATAACATTAAATTATTGGCTATATAAAATGGTATGTTTGGGTTTTTTGCCTGCAAACAAGATTTTGAGCATAAAAACAACAAGAGTGAGAGCTTGCCTGTGGCCACTGGGGGCCTTGGTCTGTGGCTGCTGCTGCAGCTGACTGAGCAGAGAAGGAGCTCCGGACACCTCAGGCAGGACAAAGGGACCAGCAAGAGACCAAAGCACATCTACATTTATATTCATGGTCTGACCAAAGCCTCAGTTTCTGTCACTTGCAGTCGCACAAGAAAGGACACTATGGCTGTGATAATGCTGATGCAGTTCTTTAATTTTCTCTCACTCAGTAGTAGTTTCTGGATTTCAGATAAATCTTGCAACTTATCTGATTTTTTTCCAGATGCTTTAACATTTTCACTGGAGCATAGAAATCAAATCGTAATGCTTTATTCCAATAATCTCTTCAAACACAAGCATTGCATTACAACTATTCATCTTCTGTATCAGCTTTAAGCATTAATGAAAGTAGGGAAAGGACCAGAAATCAGTTCAATTTTGCAACACATCTGTCTTAAGAACTTCTGCTTCTGACATGAAGCCATAGGAACTTTTTTCTCTACTATAATTTCCAATAAAGTGGAATCCTGATTCCTCAGCCTCCATTATACCTGATCCTGAAACTCCCAATGACTGTATGTGTCAGGGAAGCAGAGTAGGGAGAGGGCAAGAGCTGGGACATCAGGGAGGTAAGCAAGCAGCACCAGAAAATTGAAGAAGTTACCATTTCTCAAGTTCCATCAGATTTACTTACTGTAGCCAGGATGGTTCATGATTAATAAGAGCTTTGGTTTGTTTGTTTGCTTAACTGTAAAATCTGAAAGGCCAGTCTGAGAGATGATAATGCTGCATATGTGAAAGCCATTTGGATCTAGGTTGACTAGTACTTGTTTAGCAAAAGAAAAAAAGAGTGGGAATAATAAAACAGCCTACTTTGTTGGATGGTTCTGACAAGTTAGTAATTATCTTACATGAGCAATTTTATAAAAATGCAGCTTTCCTCTGATCAAGTTCAAATACCATGCTCTATCCATCAATGACAAAAGTCAGCTATTTTTACCTTATTACAATGCTACTTTAACTCATAAATTATACCATTTTTTCCTAATATTTCTTCAGTCCACACAGGCCAACATGCTTAAAATGGCAGCATCTTGCTGAGGTTGTGCAGATACTAAATGCATAGATTATGAATTCCTTAATATTTACCCCTTCCTTGTTTAAGATAGTGTGCAAATTCCTTAAAGTAGTTCCTCATTCTATGCTTTTCCTATCAGAACTGTAAGTAATATTTTCCTACTGCAGGAAAAACTTATTGGTGGCAACAGAGATATTATGCATCTCACAAGGGCATTGCCAATTCTGGGCCAACTTTGATCTGTGCCTTGTATTAATCTCATTTTTATTTTGATGCTTCTACTTGCAATGCTATTCTTCTCTGTGCTTTCAAGATCAGTAGTTATACTCCTTTTTGTTTGTTTGTATCCCTCCAGCTTCTTTTAGAGTCTAAATTAGTATCTCTCCAGTTTGGTTTCAGACTATAAGGATATTCTGATGGCAAACCAGGTTATGATAGTAAGAATAAAATGCTTTGCAAAATCTCTCAAAGAACGTCAGTGGTTGCCATCTCAATTATGGAACACTTCAAGTTAAAAAAAATAAATAAATTAATGCCATGACTTTGTCCGGAAGTAATAAGGTTCAACACTTGGTACATGTCAAGTTAAATTTCTTGCAAGAAACTTAAGTCCTTCATTGGTGCCAGGAAATACATATGTGCTAAGAGCAGTTCTGTATAGGTTATTCATCCAAATATCAAGATTGAAGGAAAGTTCTAGCCTGTAGCCATAAATTATTTTGTATATCTGCAACAAATAGATAAATTTTCTGCCTATGCAAAGTATGGCAAACGATATGACATGGAATACAAGTAGTCAAATTCAGGCCAGGCTTTTGAATTTTGGAATAAAATCTTTGAATTCTCTTAGTCTGAAGTTAAGAATTTATGACAGCACAAGGACACTTTGATGTGCCTAGCTTCACAGACACAGCTAGATGCTTATCATATGAGTGAAGGCATGCCAGCTTGGGGATCCTGAAATAGCTCTGTGTATGTTTCTGTTTATGCGTTATTCAGCTTTCAAAAGCTGTTTGGTAAGAAAATTAAGACTAAGTGGCAGAGCCATTAAAGAGAAGACACTTAGTACTTGGGCCAGAGACCTTCAGTTGACTTGGTGTGTAAAAGGACAGGTCTCAGGATAGAATCAATGCCTCCTGCACTCTTGCCATTTTCATTTCTGGATTAATTCATTTTCTCTGCATCCACAGACAGTGGTCTGACAGGTGACTATGCTCATCAGGAGGAAGCACCAATAACTTGCAAGCTTCTTGATGGAGCAAGAACTGTGACTTAATTGTGTCTTGCTGTAGACAAGAAGCTCATTTTGAGTCCCCAGGTAGGCTTTAGTGAAAAACACTAGAAAAAATGTAAAAAACAAAACAAAAACTCACATAGGCATTCAAAAGCAGCATTTTTGCTCTAAACAATTGCATTAGTTCCCATAAACAGTAATCACAAAATTACAATGCAAAGAGGTCAAGTACTTGCCCTTGCATTTCATTGGCCTCTCAAACTATGTGAATAAAATGAATTTAACCCACATACTCAGGAATTTAATGTTAACTATAAAATTTCATCTTGCTTCTTCTAATTTTCATTTGATATGCCTTAAAATGGGAAATAAAGACAAGTGCCACTTTAAACTAAGTAATTGTTTCTTAACATTAGGCTTGCTATCAAATTAGTCTCAAAAAGAAAACAGATTTGCCCAACTACAAAAGCTTAGTTGAAATTTGAAATTGATTTATTTTGCCATTGCATTATTCTTCTCCTGCATATTCTCGTGTACAGCAGAGTAAAGGCAACTTGATATATAAACATATTAAAAATGAATATAAAATGTTTTATAAGCTACATGTTACTGTAATAATAAGTTGACAGAGTTCACAAGGATGCTCTGTGCTAGCAACAAAATGGAATGTTTGTAATAGTGTCAAAGTGGAAAATAAATTTGATGACACTGCAGAGAGCAAATGTAATTAGTTATAAACAGGCTTTATTTTGCAAGTTTATGAGATATATGATCTGGAATACAAAGATATAGGAACTGAAAAGTGGTTGTGACTATGAGGCAGGCTGGAATGAAATCTGTTTTGCCCATTTATCTAAGGGCTGTGTAACTAGATTAATGTGTTAATATTAACCAGGAAAGCACCTAGCTTGAATGAAAAAGTGATTCTGTAACTAAAGAAGGGAGATCTTAACTCTGCCATTATTAGCAGGGAATTATTTCATGAAAATGGAATGCTGATTAAAATACCTATTGCTTCTCCACAGGAATTTAAGAGCAGAATATGAACAATAATTCAATAAAGAATGAAGCTCTAGGTGTTTTACCAGGAAGAGCACTAGCTCCTCATCAACAAAAAGCATATCTTGAATCCATACAGCTCCTGTCCTTGCATTTCTGTCAGAAAGATATCTTAGTACAAACATACAAATAACTGAATTCAAAATGTATTTAAACTTGATTTCTCTTAAGTATGAATGGCATACTCAAAATGTCAGCTTCCCCACTTTCTACATCAACTCAATTTTATTTTAAGTCCACTGAGTCAAGCACCTGTGCTCTCTGCTGCGTGCAAACACACAGCCATGGAGGCAGCAGGTGAGGCTCCCATTGCAGACTTCTTGCAGTGGAGGGTACAAACAACAGGGGGGCAGCTGTTAAGGCAGTTCAAGTGCCAGTCCATGCACACACTAATGAAAAAGGAAGAGTCCTGCATGCAAGACTAAGCCCACAAGCTGCCAGCTGGACTGTGCTGCTCCATGATATCAGCAATACAGGAGCTAAAATGCAATCACAAGTGGTGTTGCCTGCTCTTCTATCAACCTCTTCATGCAGAAGCTGTGTTCCAAGAGGAAAATGAATGGTCTTTGACAAGGAAAAGCTATGCTTTTTCTCAAGCATCGCTCATAGCGTTTCTAAGGTTTATGAATATGATGTAGGTTATTAGCACTCACTGCACCATTTGTGACTACAAAATGTCACTAGTCAATATTTTTCCCATGTTCCCCTTTCCTTGCTGCAGTCTGTGATTAACACTTGATATTTCAAGAGAATACTCAGCCTGCAGTTACTGCTTTGCTTTCATATTTTTTCTCCTTGTTTATCTTGCTGTATTCTTGAAATTGCTTTGCTTCTTGGGGACTTAGAAAAATCCAGTTCTATGGTGGCATTTTAAAAAACAACTTATCTGGGCTTCCTGGCACTGTGACAGACAGAGTGAACTCAGACATGCACATCTGCTTGCTTTCTAGTGACTCACTGCAGGTATTCCAGTTGTTGGCCTATGAAACGAATAAGGTTGTAGGGCTGCATCCTTGCAGCTGACCCAGCACCAGGCAGACCTCCTTGTTGAGATCGCACATGCTTGCTATCAGGGACCCTACACATCTCCTTAAATCAAGCTCTGATTTGAACTCTTTAGATAGAATCTAATACAGCATTGATATATGAGATTGAGAACATTTGAGAGATAGGGATCGCAGGACATATGACAAATGTATCCACCGTGATGATGCCAAATTATAGGTATTGCCTTCACATCTGTACTGTATGGCATGTGGCAGAGAATGCACATCTGATAGTGCTATCAGGTGGAGCTACCCTCCTGTAAACCCATGACAGGATTCTCACACAAGTAATACAAAATTAGAGTGAGGAAGGAAAAGAAGGTTGTTCTTGGCAAGTGTATAGTTTAGAATTGTGCCAGAGCTCTGAAACGAGGAAAAAGCAGCATGAGTATTCAGCTGTATTTTCAAGCTGTCTGCCTTTAACCTTGTTTAACTTTCCATGAACATTTGGAAAACTCCTAGCACGGTGTTCTATGATTATCAATATTTATGTAGAGCAAGGGCTAAGTTTTTATGCTCAAAAATTTATACAAAGTGAATTTTATATTTGTTTTCCATAAACATCAGTATCAGAAGCCTGGTTGTAGCATTAGCACTATGCCATCAGGAAACAGAAACAACACTGCATACCTAGTGCAAACCATCACTGTTAAGCAATACAGACAATACTCCAGAAGAGATCTGTAGAGTGCATGAATCATAGAATAACAGCACAAATCTGCAGAAACAGTCATCTGTATATAGGCTTTCTGTCAATGGAGAAAAGGAGCAAGATTTATCATGTTCAATTTAGGTATGAATTATTCATCCTGCTCTTTTGGCAGACTTGCTTTCAGCATTATTTTCATTTTACAATATACTAAATTTATTCAAGCTACTAAGCAGCTAATATATAATTATTATAAATGATCTTATCAGTGTACTGAGAGCTTCTGTTCTTTTTTTTTACTAGGAAATAGTTAAGAAGCATAGTTTTTCTGCAGAGGTAATAAAGCCAGCTAAGAATTAGTGGGCAGACCCATTATTGTCTCCATTTTTCTGAGGGTAAACTGAAGACGAAAGAAAAACTTTTAAATGTTGACCATTTTCAGCTTCTTATATAACATGATTGTAGATCTCAAGACTCAAGCTAACTCCACTAATTGTTAATAAAGTGCCTTTGTCAGACTTTATATTTTCCATTTTGCCACATTCGTGTTTTATAATTTTCTAAGATGCTTCTTTTCTGCAGAAGCTGAAGTTACCAACAAATAAATTGCCTTCTTGAAGTCAAAATACAGGGAAAAAAAGTCCTCAAAACGCTTCAGCATCCTCCAGAGGTCATACTTTGTAGAACAACCCCTCCATTCCATTTCAGTATTTATGAGGAGTATTTACCCTCAGTGCCCATCCAGACCCTGTATACCCTGCTGGGCTTTCAGAGCTGGTTTCGAGTAAACTACATGCACAGGCAGGCATCTTTTGGGGCTGTGGCCGCATGGCTTTGCAAGCCCTGCTGGTTAGACTTGCAGACAGAAACACTCCTGTATCCAGATACAACAGACACACCTGAAACATCCTGCTTCATGAGAAGCCCAAACTAACCTGAAGAGGTGTCAGAAGAGTGATACAGAATACCAAAACTAGATGCTGGAATGTGAGTGGCTCTAAAGCCATCTATGTATGAAGCCAAGTCTATTCTCTCATGTGGATTTAGTCCCCACAAATAACTTCTACAGTAACATCCATATTGCCTCTTTAGCAGATTCACTGTGTTTCTGTAAAAGATTTCCCTTTGCAAAAATTCCATTACAATAGAAAAAAACATCATTACACGATAGTCTTAGCACATTCACCTTTTCTCAGCTAGATGCTTATGATTTTGGACAGTATTTCCCATAAGATGTTTCTTGTTCCACGTTTGTACTATCCCCAAATCATGTTCAATTTCAACTCCTTTAAAAAATGGTTATTTTAAAGTTTTAACTCTGCACTGATGGAAATGTCTCCTGTATTCAGTGCAAGGTCTTACAATTTTATGATACAGCCTTGTACACCTTTTATTGTTAAGGCCATTTTTATTAAGGCTCAGGAGGAGGCAGTGACTGGCCCCCTGGTACTATTTGAATTTTACATCATGGGACAGCACTTTTAAAAGCAGAGCAGGGTTATTTTGGTAGCAGATCAGAATCTCAATTTACAAAGACCATGGTGTAGTCAAATGCCTTCTCACACCAGTGAATTCCATTGTGTTTGCATCATACTTATATTTAGCTGCTGTCATTGAAGTTATTGCTAGAGACAATATAAGCTCAAATGTCCCCTGCAGTTAAGCAAAATAATAAAAGGTTTCCTGGGATTCCCTGCATTTATGGTTATTTTTGTCTTTGTTTGTTTGTTTGTTTATTTGTTTTTGCATTATTTTTCTCCAGGTATAAGTGCCTTCCCAGATAGTCAACTCAAATTAGCAATACTGTTGTCATATTTTCGTAAAAGGCATAATTCCCATTCCAAACTTCTACCATCTCTATATTGTTTTAAATTCTGACTTTTTAATGAAAATATTTTTTTAACACTTAGAGTAAATCTCATTTAGAATTAATTTTTGTCTTAATGTATTTCAAATTTCTCAAAAAAGCTTCTTATTTTCCACCCATAATGAGTACATTATTAAGAAACGGAGCACTCTACATAAAACTGCTATTATGTGGTCTGCTGAAATGCAGAAAGATTACTAGCCATTGCTGAAAGCTATCTGGCAAGAAAAAAAATAGGGGGGTATTAAATACTAAGTAGACTCAATCAAATATAAAACACTGAACATTCGCTGAGCAAATTGACTACAATTCAAAAATGATTTATTTATCCGCAATTAAATAAGGCAAGAATTAATTACAATCTGCTGTATCTGAAAATACCTTTAGAGTCCTATAGATGGAAGAGATTTAGAGATTCTGTATGATCTATCATCTGTCTCAGGGCAGGATCAATCCCACTAACATCGGTCCAGAGCATCCTCATAAAATGTTACTAAAGACGGTTTGTCAGTGACGGAGATGAAGGTTTGCAATCTTCATTGTATATTTACAATTTTTTCTGGTACCTATTCCTAGTCACAGTGCAATTTTAGGGCTTTTTCTGTAACTATTTTTGTAGTTTTGTGTCTTTTCTCTTTTTTAGGCTAAAATCCATTTTTTTCTGTCTTCCCAAGTCATGCTGTTAAGTTCTCAAGGACAGAAAGAGTCTGACATATGTACAGTAGACTACATTTCTGTCTGTACTGACATGGTAACTTCCTACAATGTGATAAACTCTAGGATTGTGTTAAACAAGCAGCAGTTGTTTGGGTTTTTTTTCCAGTATTTTGCTTAATTGGCAATTTCCCAAGTGATCATTGTGTCTGTGCCCATGTAAATGTTTGAATTTGGGGCCTTCTTGGTATGCTCTAGAAAATTTTGTGTATTCATTAAAAACTAAAGCCAATCAATCAAGCTCAATCAAGCCAATCAGTCAAACTCAGCCAAACAATGCTGCCACAAAATGGAATATTTGGCTGCAGCAGTTCTAGTGCATTGGCATAACTTAACTGAACACAGTGAATCAGATCTTTCAGCATCCCCCTCCCTTTCCTCCTGGGGCATCCTCTTGTTTCTCCTGCATATGATTTTGATGAGCTGCAGCCACTATGTCTGACTGTGGCCATCAGAGAGTCATAGAATCACTTCTCCATCAATTCAGAAAATTACTTAGGTTGGAAATGATCTTCAGGTTCATCATGTCTGACTGTTAACCTCACCTACCAAGTCCCATCACTATACTGTGTCCCTGAGTACCACTGAAGAGCAGAGAGATGCCTGCTCCTTGCACCATGGCCCTCTGATTCCTGCTAGTTCAAGGCAAAACTCATCACCACCAATACCTTCCCTATCTCATTTCCTGCAGACATAAGGTGCAGTATTTCCCTGTTTGTTTTTCCACTGCAATCTGTTTAGGATTCTAGTGCTAAGCAGTGGTTGCTTCTAGTCACAAAATGCATTAATGGTTCTGCAGAAATGATTTTGTAGCAAATGTGAGTCATGAGGGAGGCATAAGGAATTATTTTTGGGAAATAACTGTCATAAGGGAGTCACCTGCACTATCACTCAAGTGTTTTTAGTACCTAGGAACAGGCAATGTAAGGTAAAAGCTTTTTGTGTTTTGGAAGTGGCACTATGAGGAACATAAACTGCTACTGAATATATTAAGGCAGGTCATTCTTTCTTTTCTCACTATCTACTAAAAATTCTGTTATAAATGTCAACCATTACAGTCAGCTCACATGAAGACTGAAATGCTCCCCCAGTGTGTGAGACACACTCACCACATGTAAGGTTACCACTGCCTCCAGGCAGGTGTTGGAGGACATGTGCTGCCAGCTCTGCCAAAAGGTGCAGAGGGCTTTCTGAGGGGAGAATGCTATGGAAATGTACAACCTCTTTGCTGAAACACTCTAAATCAAGCTAGGTGCTGCAAATACCATATGCACCGAGCTTTCCCATCCCACTTCTGCTATATTCCCAAAGCTTTAGAGGTGCTCAGGCCCACTCCTCAGCTGCTTTAAAGCACAGCTTGCTTTCACAGGCAACACTGGGCTGCCGAGCTCTTTGCAGATCAAGGCCCACCCCTGAGCTGACGGCCATGGGGAGTAGGGGCTGCCCTATGGCTGCATGATGCTGGTGAGGAACATCTCTACCTCGCTGACTGCCCACAGGCAGCCCTGCACTGCAGCACTGAGGTATGTGAGGAGAGCTCAGCCT